TTTTTTTTTTTTTTTGCTCTTGCAATTTTGTTTTATTCTATTCTAGTATCTCCAGTATGGAAAAAACAAACACATCCCAACACCAAAGCTTTCAGTCTGTTGCTTTCCTTTCACTTCAGCCCTTGCCTCTGAAAAGCAGTTCATTAAGAGGTCAGGTTGACAACCACAGGATCTAAGGTAGAATATATCCTTTCCATAAATACTGACATATTTTGACTCATAAAAGGCATTTTTTATATTTTCCTTTCTCCTTTTCTTCTAGAGATCCTTTTCCTGCATTTTCATCCGAATATAAAAATAGAGCACATTCTTCAACTGGTTGTGAAATTCTATAATCCACATTCCTAAATAGAAAGAATTTCATTATAGGGGTCTAGAGAAAACATCATACTCATGTGATCTATGGTATTCACCCTTTCCTGTCCTATTTTGTTCTTTGATGCTTTTGCTTTATATCCTTTCAGCTCCTCTCACTATACACTATTAGCATTAATCTGAATATCATTAATGTTTAATTTTCTGAGACCTACTATATTATATTTCTCTCCTTGAATTCTCCTGGACAGCAAAATAATAGAGATCTTTTTAAACAAGTTATTAATTACCTAATAATATTTGGTTAGCTTCTCAGGTTCTTTTTTTCTTTCCACCCCTACACATAAGCTCTCAACCTCCTTCTCCCTTTCTTTCTGGGCATAAAAATATCATCTATTATGAAAACTACTTTTTGTTCTTTCTTACATTGTCTTTGCTCTCTGGGGCGTTTTCCTTCCCTTTCTTTCTTTCTTTTTTCTTACTTCTCCTAGTTCCCAGCCTATTCTACAGCTATACTATTCTTTTGTCTTCCTGCACTATTAAAAAAGTTGAAAACTATTTAAATAAATTTTATAGGTTCATACAGGATATGATTATCTCTGTGTACACTGTTATCACCAGTAATAGTTACACTGCTAGGGGCAGATTTTCTTACTCTGAATAGGATGAGTAGGTATCAGTACCCTGAAGCTAAGGGCACATCATAAAAAGAAATCCACTTAATAAAGACATCTCTGCTACTGTGGCACAGCTTTCTAGCCCATCAGATCTACAACCATCAATTCAACAGTCATGAAAAAAACAACACAATAAGATGCCTTCAAAATTCCAAACTCTGTAGAAGAATCTCAGTGACACTCAAGATATGAATTTCCAATGCACTCAAAAAACACTGAAAATGATTGAAGAGATCAAAAGAGGACAGCTAAGCAGCTGAATGAAATAGTAAGATGATCAACCAATTTAAAGAAGATGTAAGCAGCTGAATAAAATATTCACTAAGATGACCAAGAAGTTTACAGAAGAAACAAATAAGCAGCTGAATGAATTAAGAAATACAATGCAGGATGTGAATGACTACTTCAGTAGAGAATGAAAGGATATAAAAAGAATCGATCAGAAAGCCTAGAAATAAAAAGCTCAGTTGAAAGTTTTAGCAGGAGACATAATCAGTCAGAAGAGAATATCAGGACCGGAGGACAAGGTTGATGTGGTAAAACATTTACTCAGTGATACACAAAACACAATAAAAGACAACCAGAAGATGACCCAAGAGCTCTCAGAATATCAGGACTTGAGGACAAGGTCCAAGAGCTCCTAGATGATTCTAAAACAACAAACCTAGGGCCGGAGATTTATCTAAATGGTTCTGCCTCCGGCCTCACAAGCAGAAGGTCCCAAGTTTGATCTCCAGTACCTAAATAAATAAATAAATAAATAAGACAACAAACCTAAAAAAATATGTTCACCAAAATTACTGGAGAAAAATTTTCTAAATCTAAGAAATGAGTTTGATACTAAGGTAAATGAGGAATTTAGAAACTAAAATAAACATGACCAGAAAAGCACCCCTCTATGACATATCATAATACAAAAATGACCAAAATTCAGAACAAACACAGAATATTAAAAGGTTTAAGAGCAAACATTAAATAACTTATGAAAGTAAACCCACCAGAATAACAATAGATTTTCAACACAAGCTGCAAAGGCCAGGAAAGCTTAAAGTAAAATTTTCCAAGCCCTAAAACAAAAAAAGAAATGCCAATCCAGATTCCTATATCCTGCAAAAATGTCCTTCAAAATAAACACAACAAAGTCAAGCTAAATAAATGTATGACCACCAAAGCAGCACTGCAGAAAATACTCAAGGGAATCCAAAGGACTGTGAGGTCAACTTCACCTAACAGCCTATAGGAAAGATTAACTCTCCCTGGGAGAGTAATTAAAATGAAAGTAAAAATGAATCAGCATTGGAAAAATAATACAATAACAGGAGTCAATAAATAACTTTCAATAATAACTCTTGATGTAAATGGACATAACTCTACAATCAAAGGACAAGATGACAGCTTGGATCAAAAAACAAAACTCAACTATTATTTTGCCTGCAAGAGCTAAAACTCATCTACAAAGAAAGAGTCTGAAAAAACTTTTTTTTTTTTTTTGGTGCCAGGGATAGAACTTGGGACCTTGCGCTGGTGAGGCAGGCAGTGGAACCACTGAGATAAATACCCGAACCTAGAGTCTGAAATTGAAAGGATGAAAAATCATACTCCATGCTGCTGGAACCCAAAAGGAATCAGGACTAGCTATTCTAATTTCTGAAAAAGTTGACATCAAACAAAAACTGATCAGAAGAGACAAAGAGGGTCACTACATATAGATAAAAGGAACAATTCACCAAGAAGAGATTAACAATAATAAATATATATGTGCAGAATGTGAGTGCATCCAATTTCATAAAACAAAACCTACTTACTAAAAAATGACAGATGGCTGCCAATATAAATACACTGGGATTTTACTATCTCACAAATAGGTTAAATGGAAAAGAAATCTATAAAGAAATAGCATTAAATCATACCACAGAATAAATGGATATAATAGATAGCTACAGTGTTTCATCTAGCAACAGCAGAATATACATCCTTTTTAGCTGTTTACAAGATTTTCTTCAAAATAGACCATATCTTATGCCAAAAAGCATGTCTTAATAAATAAAAAGAACTGAATAATCTCTTGTATCCCGTCAGATCACATAGAATAAAACTAGAAATCAATAGCAAAAGTACAGAAACACATGGATATTAAATAATATAGTTCTGAATAATCACAGAAGAAACTCAAGCCAGGTGTTTGAGGCTAGCTTGGGCTACGTAGTGAGTTCAAGCTGGGTCTGAAGTCCACACTGAGACCCTGTCTCAAAAACAAACAAACAAAGACTCCCCAAATTCCTAGAATCAAATGACACTGGAAATATACCTTTTCAGAATCTGTGTTCCACACAGAAAACAGTTAAAAGAGGGAAGTCCATACCTGTGAGTGCCTACATTAGAAAAACAGACAATCTCAAATAACCCAATGATACATCTCTAAGTCCTAGAATAATCCAAACTTCACACCAATAAAAGGAAAGAAATTATAAGAAGCAAAGCATGGATTAATAAAATTGAGACTAAAAATATACTAAAAAGCAATGAATCAGAGTTGGTTCTTTGAAAGAATAAAACTGATAAATCTTTAGTCGAGAGAGAGAGAGAGAGAGAGAGAGAGACCCAAAATAATTAGAACTGAAAAAGACAAAATTGGAAAAGACAGTACTTTACTCCAGAGGATTATAAGTAACTATTTTGAAATTTTATATCCCAATAAATTGGATAATCTGGAAGAAATGGATAAATTCCCAAATACATATAACTTACAAAATTGAACAAGAAGATATAAAAGCTTCAAACAGACAAATAACTGGCAATCAAATTGATGCAGTAATATAAACTCTACCAACTTAAAAAAACACAAAGCCCAGTATACCAATTGCTGAATTTTACAATAATGTCAGAGAACTGATGTCAGTATTCCTATAACTCTCACATAAAGGAAAGAATGCTACAACACTCAAGTCTATGAAGCCGGCAGTACCCAGATACCAAAATATTGATAAATACTCAATCAAAAAACAAAGAAAGGAAGGAAGGGAGGAAAAAAGGAAGTGAGGAAGGGAGAGAGTGAAGAAGAAAGAGAGACAGACAGACAGACATAAAGACAGACTATAGGCCACTCTCCTTGAAGAACACAGATACAAAATTCCTCAATAAAATACTTGCAAACAGAATGCAACAAATCATTAAAATCATTGAAAATATCATATATCATGATCAAGTTGCTTTATCTCTGGAATGCAAGGGATCAATTAATCAACATAATAAACACACACAAAAAAATAAAATCAAGGATGAAAATCAAATGATTGTCTAAACACACAAAATCCAACATCCATTTATGAACAGTGATTAGGCAGAAGAACAGAAGATCCCAGCAGCACAGGCCATCCAGTAGTACCACTCCTTGGGTGCAGAGGAGCTGAGCTGCACAGCTGGCCACTGGGCCATGCCAGCACCTGGATCCAGACCACAGAGTATCAGTGGGTCAGAAAGGCCACTGTCCTGAGATCCAGAAGATAGAGCAGAAGTGAACAAAAGAAAGAGGGCCTCTCTCAGGCTTCTTGATGAAAACTGAAGCCCACTGGAACAGTGAAGAAAATCTTTGCAATAAAGGCACACCAGACCACCATAGTTGGTAAGTAGGAGGGATCACCATCTCCTATTGGAA